CTCTCTATAGCGCTGAAATATAGTCTTGATCTGAGAGTTCTGATGATTTGGTTGCGGCTGTGGCTGGCTGCGACATTTGCCAGCTGTGGCAGCTGCACCCATTGTGTTCGTTATAATTTGCAATTGTTTGTTATATAATTTTCGATCTGATTCTGAGGATGGCTTGCGATTGTTGTGACTACCGTCTCGTTCGTATAATATTTGCTTGCGTTCGCTTGTGCTATCGAGCATTACAGTTAGAAGCTTTGCTTGCGTTTGCTTGTTAATTACAATGTTTTGATTGCTAGCATTTTGGTGAATATTGATGGGGTCACATTCATTAATGGATTCTTGATTGATTGCTGGCACTCCGTTACTGGCTGTTGATACTGTTGTTGTAGTAGTAGTAGTAGTAGTAGTTGTTGTTAATGATGAATTATGTGCAAGAATGATATCAGCACTTGTCGCAGAAGCTTTCAAGTGCATCTCAACTGGTGGAATTACCTTATTGCGAAGTATCGACGGCACAGTTTCCATCATCTTAACCCACTCAATTGGCAAAGCCCAGGCATGGGGACTCTTCGAATAGTACATCAAATGTTCAATATCATACGAGACGCGTGCTGTAAATGAAAACATATTTAAATTGTTTTTGTCTCGAATTGAAATTGCTTCCGTCGGGGTCTGTATCTACCGCTTCTGAGAACTTACAAGTATTCGTCTTTAGCCGATTGACCTCGTTGTCTTCTTCAACCTTTTCGCGTGCTGCTTTTGTTTCAGGCGTTGACTCCTTGCGTGAGAAATGACTGCGTCGCGAGCGTGCCAAACCATTCTGACTGCTGCCACCATTGGATGCAGTAGAATCTACAAATACCTCATCATCGCCATCACCATTATTGTTGCCTTGCCCAGCCGCATAGTTCAGTCCAATGCCACTATCGGCCAGCGGCAGCGCGTTGCCCAACATAAACTGCGGTGGTCCTGAGCCGGGCAAAGGTGTAGAAGGCGTTGTAACTGGACTAACCATTGAAGTGCCATCGAAAGCTGCGCCCGCCTCCATTGAGGCCAAGAACTCGGAACTACTAAAGTAATCATCCAAGACGAGTTTGGCCACCTGTTCGATATGAAAGATTTATTTATCTGATCCGAGAGTTAACAAAATGAAAGAATACTTACACGCACTAACTCGCAGCAGTCGCCTGTGATCTTGATGAGATGTTGGCCCACATTGACCGTGAATTTGTATTCACCTACGGAAGCATCGTTTGTGGAATATGAATGCATTAGCAGCTGCTGATTGGGACGTATAACTTTACCGGCAGCAGCTGTTGCCGCCGCAGCCGCATTGGCAACCTGCTGCTGATGGTGGTGATGATGTTGTCCCTGATGCTGTTGCTGCTGCTGATGGTGCTGTGACATTTGGTGCGCCGCAGCTGTGGCAGTCATGAAATTCTGTGCCGAATTGAAGCTCAATCGGTTGGCCAGGCTACTGCTACCGCTAGGCGTGCGCGGCTGCACGGCGACGGCATCATCCGAATTGGAAGAGTTCAACGATGAACAGGAGCCGCCTGCACCACCGGCTGATGGTGCTGGCTCTAGGCGTACCGGTGAGGCATTACGACGTATGGTATCCTCCATCAATTGCTTTGCGTAACTGAAAAATGGGTAAATGTTGCGGATAAATATTTGTGAAAAATGACAAAACTGTAAAACAGTTATTTTTGCAGCAATGTAGCATTGCCACATTTTTTAATAAGAAAAAACGGTGGCAGCGCCATTTGCAAGAGGAACTTTTTGTTTTAAGCGATAATTTTGTCTAGTTCTTTTTATCGGAAACGTCTTTTGATTATTCGATTGTTAGTAGTTGAAGACTTTTTAATCAAATGTTAAATTGAATTGAAAACTTACTTAATTTTATCTTCTGCGGGTCCGGTAATCTGCACCAATCGTTCCTTTGCGCCAGGGTTGACTGCGTGAGATACATAAATATTAGTAGAAGAAAAGATAATCCTTAATTGTACAATGGTAAATTATTTACATGTTTGGTATTAAAATAATTAGCAGACTTTAAACAAAATGAAAACAGCCGAAACTTTGATTTTAACCTAAACGTGCGGCGATTTTGTGTGTGTGCATTAATACTGTTTATACATGTGGTTTGTGTGAGTGTGCGTGAGTGAGTGTAATTGCGTGCAAACTGTGAAGATTTGGAAGTAATAATTCAAAATAGAATTTGAATAACGATTTTGGACAAAACATTATTAAATGTTTATTAAGCTAAGATAAGATTTTTTCGAACGCTTTACCTCGTTGAAAAGATATTATAGTTTCGCTAAGTTCCTCGATCATGTGTACACGTCGGCCTTTAATGCCCATAACTATTTTGGGACAATTTGCAAACAGCAGATAGTCAAATATTTATATATAAATGTACTCTTTGCAATGATCAGAGCATCATACGTAACTGATACTTACCCTTGCCCGAATCGGCGTTCCGTATGACCACCTCATCCTTGCAATAGGTTTTTCCCGGTATCTTAGTGGGCTTGGGAAATTTACCCGAATTACGTATGACTGCACCAGGTGGCAACAACAGATGCTGCTGATTGGGTGAGCCGACCGCAGCAATCGCCGCTGCCTGAGCGGCAGCAAGCGTTGCCGCATTGAAGGCCGCAGCAGCAGCCGAGTCGACGCCAACAAGTGCACCCATGCTGCTGCCGCCGCCGCCGGTGCCGCCAAATGTGGGGGAGGTGCTGAGAAAGGCTTGCTGGTTGCCTACGACGCCTGCAGCGTCGTGTTGATATGTTTCAGCGGGTAACTGAAATATTGAAATTCAAAAATCTATTATTTAACAATTTTATTCTAATTTGGGTGTATTGCCCACCTCAATGCTGGACACTTGCTGCTTTGACTTGTAGTAGGCAATTGTATCTTTGTCTTCCCAGCTATTGGCGCGTAATTCAATCAGTTCGAGCAGCTTGAGCCGTGTCATTATGTTCAGACGTTCGTCCAGCGAAGCATTGCGAAACACAACGAATGCACGATCCAGCGTATCCTTGGACACGGCCTCCAGCTGCGGCCCATGGACACGCAAATTATGCAACAGCAATGTTATCGATTCGGTTGTCGCATTGCACGACTGCAGACCCACAGTCACATTGTCAATCAACTGTATCAACTCCTCAATTACAAGGTAGCTGTTCTTCAATGATGAGCGCGATTGTGTCTTGAGCGGACGCGGCGCCTCAATGTTTTTCACCGCCCTACCCAGCTGTGTGTGCGCCATGTTGCCTCTGTTTTCACTTTTTTTCTATCCTAGCCCAGTTTCGATTAGTGGCTATTGTTGGCTTAAAAGTTCTGTTTTCTTATCTCCGGGTGGTTGTTTTTTTTTTTTTTTTTTTTAAGTTCGTTCGTTTGCTTATTGTTGATGTCTGCGTGGGTGTGTATGTTGCAGAAATTGTGTGAAAGAAGTCGTAGAAGCGTTTCCGCACCTCCCCCTGCAAAACAAAATGTAGAAATGTGAACGAATCGTATATATTGATTAACTAAAAGGGAACAGTGGAACAATTTTCCACTTTACGCTTAAATTTCCTTTTTTATATGAAAATTTTAAATTAAACTTATCAACAAATCGAACTTTATCTGTTATCGATATCGTTTGACATTGCTTATGTTATATTGACTGTTACAAAAATTTGCTCCTAGCGGCTTCATTCAGAAACTGCGACGCAAGTGCTCAAATATAATTTATCTACATTCATACATATACATAATGTATGCACGGTGTATATCATTTGCAACTGTGATAAGAAACTTAAGGTTGAAACTGATAAAAAATTAGATTTATTATAGTTTTCAGTGCTGCTCACTTTAGCTAGCCATAATCAAGAAGAGTGCTTTTAGCACATATATTTATCGTCAGCAATGAAAGGCGCCACCATGAATCACTTACGAATTATAATTGCGCACACAAATTCCAAAAGCGTTTGCATAAAACGGGCACAATGGCCATTTGTATACTTCAGTATGAGTATGTGTATATGTGTGCGTTCGGCATTTAAGTTTCATTAACAAAAAAAAATACGCGGAACGCATTTACAGTTGCTGCGGCTAATTGTCCCTAAGTTGCGTTTTTATGCTGTGGCGCAGATTCAAAGATTCTGGTTTTAAATAGCATTTAGAAATATTACAAGAGCTAAAAAGAAACTGTCATTGCGCGCAGCGATCTTGCCCACTTATTGAATCATATGTCGAGAATAGCAACAACAAATATGACTGTAGCAGCGACAGCGACGTCGACGCTGGCAGCGCTGCTTGCGTAGCCTGGGGCGTAGGACAAGGCGTGTGTCTTTTACGCACGATGCTAACAAAATCACTTTACATTCTAACTTACACACAATTTGTTTTAGTTAAGTAATTGTGCGTATATAAAGCAAATTTCCTACGGATTTTTGTTCTAAATTAAGTAATAATATGTATGTGCCAACGCTAGTCGCTAGTTGGAAACTACGCGTAGACTGCGCAGCAGTGCTTCACTTGCAGCTGCGTCTTTGGGACACTATGCTGAAGAATGATTGAACAAAAAACTGTCGCGTTAAACAAATACGAGAATTAAACTACTTTTATGCAGTGTATTTCACTCTGGTCTGGTCTATTTTAATGAAATAGCTATGTGAAAGCTTACCAAAAAATCTCAGCGACTACTAGATCTGCAAAACAGTCATCGGTACTATCGATAGCGATTGCAATTTTTAGTATTTTCGATGGCTATCAATGGAGTGGCGATTCATTGTTTAATTAAAAATTTTTATTCACTTTATAAGTATTTGGGTTATTTGGGTTTTTAATTTGCTTTATTGTTATATTACAAAATTCCTGCAAACTTTTATATAGTTTTTATATAGAATATCGATAGCAGACAATTTTGTTTTACTGTTCTGAAATCAGAAATGCCGATAGTACTATATAGGGCTGCCACTCTGTCGTATTTTATTTTTTAGCAGCCTTATTATAGCAGGGTGGCTCAGAAGCCCTGGCGAATCGTAGAGCTGGAATATCGGTCGTGTTCCACAAATTTTTCTGAAAACTCTCGTTTGCTCTACTGATTTTCAGTTATTTGTTGTGTAAATATCGACACAAATAATGGCTGAAAATTCAGCCAAAGAGGATGTGACGCCGCCACAAGCGGTGAAAAATGATAGCGTCAAGGACAGTGATGCAAAACCTTTGCGAATGTCTTTTGCCGATTGGAAGAAGAGTAGAGAGCCCAAGGAGCAGCCAGGGGATGCTCAGGCAACTCGCAACAGTCGCAAGAACCATAAGAATGACAACAGACCACAGGGCAATAATCGCATTTACAATAATAATCACAACAACAATATCAATAACATCAACAATTCGTTTCCGCCTCTAAGCCGACCACCGCCATTGCCCTTTCCCTTGATGTCCATGGGTTTTGGTAACTTTGGTCACGGACACGGACCCGGTCCATGCGGACCACCGCCAATGATGCCTTCCGGATGTAACATGGGTAATATGGGCAACATGGGTAATATGGGAAATATGGGTCCAGGACCAGGCCCGCGCAACCATCGACCCTTACAGCCACCACCTTTTTGGGAGGACATGATGTCGCCACAACATCGACCACCACCAATACAACCACCCATGCCCAAGTGTCCCAGCTCATGGAATCTTGTGCCCAGGGATAAACAGCGGCAAAACAAACAAAACCAGAACCAAAACAGTCAGCCTAACAAGAAATATAAAGCCAACACCAACAACAAGGACAGCAACAGCAACAACAATAACAGCAGCAGTAATAATACCAACAGTACTACAAACAATGCATTGTTAGATGCGGCATTGATGCCACCACCACCACCACCACCACCGGGAGGCAGCTGCAACAGTACTAACAGCTCCTCCAACAACTCAACATCGAATAAAATTGTGAAGAAGAAAAAATGTGGCGGGACTTTTGTGCAAATTGATGGTAAATGGATACAGCGACCTGAGGCGCCTCCACCACTAGAAGAAGCGCCGCCGGGCACCAAAGAAGATCGCCAGCGCCAGTGGCGCGAATACCGACAGGCGATGAAGCCATTCAAGAATCGTGAATTTCATAATTGGAAACGTACTGTGCAACGTCTCAGCAAATTGCCGCGCGATCAGCTGGACGAGAGGCAATTGGAACGGCTACAAAAGGCAGAGGAATATATTGGAGCACATAAAGCCATGCTAACCATTAAGCATGCCGAACAGTGGGTGCAGCAATCTAACCGAAAAATAGAAGCGACCGGAAGCAATGGACAGGCTCAGGTGTTTGTGCGAAAGCCGGTGAATCCCACATGGCAAAAGAACACTGATCAGAATACACTTCATCGGGGACCGCCGCCCGTACGAAAACAAGTGTTTGGCACTGGGCGTGCCATTAAAGGTGGAATTGGCGGCGATGTGGGAAGCATACCAAACAATCCAACGAGACCCATTGTGGGCCAGTTTCCGGCGCAGTCCGGACCGCCAATTGGCGGCAACAGCGGTTACTTTGGGTACAATAGCCATCCCTACGTACAGGACACGGACAGCAACAATAGCAGTGGCATCGGCAGCGGGGCCAACAGCAGTGCCACTAGCTCCTTTTACGCTAATTACACAAACAGCTTCATCAAAGGTGGCACCCTACTGCCACCCTAGAAGGCTGCTCGAGCGCTGCCCTGGAGCGAGAGATACACTTAGGTTATAATATAATTCTATTAATAATTATCATAAGCAATGTCATCACGATGTCATTTAGGAGCCTGTGCTATTCATGTAAAAATAATTAATAAATTATTAACTTATACCATGGCTTGCTTGACTCTACAGTTTGAGTCCTAAACGAAATTCAAGTTATCCATCAGCCTGGATACAAAGCTTGTTGGCTTTTTAAAATATTTAAGTATGTTGAAAATAGATTGGACAGATTGAAAGACGCTTCGAATTACATGTATATCATATATGCTGCCATAAATAACCATCGTTATGAAATTGACTTCATTTATACAAATCTTGTTTTTTAACACAGTATGTATTATATAGATTATGTTTCAACAAATATAAATGTATATCATTAGCTTAGCCTGATTTAACTTTGCTCGAGCGACTGCGGCTGCTCTTGAACTGTGTCTCATCGAGCGGAGGCAAACCTAAGAGTTCTCGTCGCTTGCGCTTGCCACGCCAAATGGCCTCCTTGAATAGATTGCAGTAGAGCTCCACGGCGGCGGGCGAATCATCATTGCCAGGCACTGGATACGTGATTAAATTGGGATTGCAATTGCTGTCGACGATGCCAATGGTGGGTATGGCCATTTTGGCTGAATCGCGTACAGCCGTATGTTGGGCCATTACATTGTTTTGTGTATTAAGAAAGATACACAGATCTGGCAGCCGAGTAACTGCATCAAATTGAACATTGGCATTTGTAAAGATTCCGCCACGCCAAAACCGCGTGTGCGAGAATTCGCCGGCCTCCATGGCCTTCTTTTCAACTAGATGGGCATTTATCGCATTGCGATTGAAGAACAATATAATACCATCTCGGAAAGCAATGTGGGCCGCGAAATTGAGTGCATCACGCAAATGGGAAGCCGTCTTGTCCAGATCGAAGATCAAGTGACCTAAGCGACTGCCATATATATATGGCCGCATGCGGTCGTCGAGTGAGCCCTCCTTGTGACCATAGTGTACGCGCGCATTGAACAAATCCCGCACAGTAAACAAATTATTCACTTGGAAGTAATCCGGGTGTTTGAGGATGCGTTGTTCAATGACGTCAATGTCCTCTGGTTCAGCAGGTGTCGGCGCCTGGGCAGTCTGTGTGTTTTGTAGGCGTGCCGGCACCGCGTACAGCTGACTAAGGCGTGGTACTATATAGGAAGAATATGCGATTAATATCTATAAATCTTTTAATTTAGAAACTCACAGTTATTAAAAGTCTTCCGAAACATTTTTCACGCACGCCGCTGGCCGCTGTTTTCATAACATGCAATTAGTGTGACCGTTGAAGTATAATCATAAAATATCCAAATATCGCAAATTATCGATAGCAGTTAACAATTGTTGCCCAAAAAAGGTCCAAGATTGTCATTGCAATGTTTATGTTTATAGTACTGCAAATCTAAAACGAAAACAATATGGAAATTGAAAAGACGCCCCCCAATGCGGCCACATCCGACACGAATTCCACATGTGAGTACATGGATGCTGAAGGTGAGCCGGAAACGGACGCGGATCTCAGCGCAAGCGAACTCTACCAGGAGGCGGTACACGGTGCCGAGGCCGAACAGCAGGGTCATAGTATTATCTCGGTGCTGCGTGATGAGCTGGTTCCTCAAACACGCAACAATTTGAGCCCAGACTCAGAAACAGCCGCAACAACGGGACAATCAAAAGACTTGGCCGCCTCCGTAGAGTCGCTAGCGCTGAGCACATCCACCAGTGCCAAGACCGAGGACAGCGGCAGCACGAACGCCCTTGACGAAGACACATACGATTATCAGCACGACAGCGTGTGGCGTGGACAAAAGAAACACATCTTCATACTAAGCGAAGCGGGTAAGCCCATTTATTCACTGCATGGCAACGAGGATAAGCTGGCCACGCTGTTCGGCGTCATTCAGGCATTGGTCAGCTTTGTGCAGCTCGGCCAGGATGCAATTACCTCCATACATGCAGGCAGCATTAAGTTCGCCTTCATGCAGCGCAACTCGCTCATCCTAGTGGCGGCTTCCCGCACGAACATGAGCGTGCAACAGCTGCAGCTGCAACTGAGGTAAGTGTTGAGCTTAGGTATATGGAAATAGTATGCTCTAGTCTATTGCCATCGATTCTAGTTACTTTATAATATATCATATTTTTATATTCTTGCAGTGATGTCTACTATCAAATACTCTCTACTCTTACCTATTCACACATGTCCAAGATCTTCGAGAAGCGGAAAAATTTTGATCTACGCCGTTTGCTTTCCGGCAGCGAGCGATTGATCTTCAATCTGTTGGCCAATGATAGCAGCCATGCCAAAGGTAAATTCTTAATAAAAATTGCAATTCGTCGTATATAAAATTGTCATTTATTGCTTGCAGTTACGAACAACATTTTTACCTTTTTGACCAATTCGATACGAGTCTTTCCGCTGCCCACGGCGGTGCGTTCCAATATTGTTAGCGCTATACAGAGCAACTGTTCCAAAATCAAGAATCTAGTGTTTGCGGTGCTCATAGCCAACAACAGGTTGATCACATTGGTGCGTTTAAAGAAATATTCTATACATCCGGCGGATCTGCGTATAATATTCAATCTGATCGAGTGCTCCGAGTCGTTTAAGAACTCTGAGAATTGGACGCCCATTTGCCTGCCTAAGTTCGATATGAATGGCTATTTACATGCGCATGTTTCCTATTTGGCTGACGATTGCCCAGCGTGCCTGCTGCTCATGTCCGTGGATCGGGATGCATTTCACACTCTATCAGAGGCCAAGGAACGCATCACAGAGAAGCTACGCCGCAGTCTATGCCTGCAGGCCATTAACGACGAGCTAAAGCAATCCCACAATGTCAAACTGTATCAGCAGGTGCAAAGCGTACCTGAGCTGCGACATTTTCTTTACAAACCAAAGGCGACGGCCCAGCTCCTCTGTCCCATGCTCAAGCATCCGTACAAATCGCTGGCCGGATTCGAACGTCTGGAAGCTATTTACTGTGATCTACTGCATCGCATACACAACAACTCGCGCCCTCTGAAACTTATCTATGAGGTGAAGGAGCGTGAGGTGGTGCTCGCCTGGGTAACGGCCACATATGAACTATATGCTGTCTTCGAGTCTATTGTGGATAAGGCAACGGTCATTGACTATGTGGCCAAGTTGATCAAATGGATCGAGAAAGAATACGATGTGTTCTTTATACGTAATCATCCGACATTTTAAAACTATTCTAAAAATATGTGTTAGTTACGATAAATTTCCCGCATTTTGTATAGCTATAATGATCTATGACACATTCAATTGTTTATATCAATTTCTACATACACGTATATGTGTGTATGTAATGAATGCCTGCTAATGAGAGACGATGTTGTTGTGCTGCCGTTGTAACAGCGTCTATATATATACTAACTTTTATACATATATGTATGCCATTTCATAAGCATGTAAATTTGTAATTTAAAGCATTAAGTAAACTTTAAAAATGAAAATGAAACTTAGAGCATTTCTTCTCTGTTCAGTAAGTATTTTAAATATTGGCGCCCGTTCAAGTCGCAAACAGTTGCGGAACGGTGCTGAGGTGAAACGCCTTGAAGTTGGCTGCACGCAAAACGCAACTCCATTAATGTTGGCTGCGCCATCCGCAAAGCTTTTTCATACTCGTCGTCGTTATCCTGCTCACTTAACATAAAAAATGCTTTCTCAGTTGAGTACAGGATATACGCGTGTGCGGTACGAAGACGCGCCAGGAAATTAAAGTGCGGTAAAGGCATTACAAAAAATATAAGAAAAACCCAGCAAACACACAAATACATACAAATGCAAGTTAAGCATGAAAAAAATGTGGACTAGTGCTATGCGCCTAGATGAGCGAAAAGCAAATGAAAGTGCAATAAATATAATACGTGCAATAAGCAATCGTGATGAAATTATGTAGTATATATCTACTACTTTTTATGTGCTGCTGCCATTGCCACGACTGCTTCTGCTGCTGCTGCTGCTGCTCTGTCGCCGCCTGCTTGCTCCCTTTTTAGCATGCGCTACGCATTTTTTTGGGTGTTAAATGTTCGTGTATCTGTCGGTTTTTGCGCGCTAAGCTACGGCGGGCAGTGACGGCGACGGCGACGGCGACGACGACAGCAGCAGCGGCAGCGGCATTAATACACGTCGCCTTCTTCGACCTACACCCTCACCCACGCACACGCACACACACACAGTGTGGCGCCTACTGTGCACGAAAATAGGCAGAAATCAAGCAGCGAATATACTACTATTTATGTATTTATGTTCATGTCCTTTTGCTCTATGTGTGTGAGCTTGCTAGCATGTGTTTCTGTGTGTGTATTTTATGCTGTCACTGCTGCCGCGCCGCTTCGTTAGTTTTGCGCGCGTGTTATGTATCTGTGTGCGTGAGAGTATGCATGTGTATCTGTATAAGTGTGTTTGTGTTTGGGGTTAGTGTGCAAATCATTTAATTTATTACTAAATGTATTTTTATACACATTTCTCGTGCACTTTTCCGTCCATGCGTTTCGCTTTCATTCCGTTTGCTCAGCCATTCGTCGTTAATTTGTCTTCCGCTTTTTAAGCCAAATTCGTGCTCTCATGATTATATCAACAGCCAGTCAACAGCAGTAGAGCAAAAACAACAAGTCGTCCTGCCAGCCAAAGTTTTACCTTTGGGCAAAATATACGCACACACGCACAGCGACAAATACACACGTACATACATATATACAGCAACATGGCCACGGCGTGTCTTTTTGTGTATCCTAGAGTAATTTTTTGAAAGCAGGCAGCTAAAGAAGAAGAAGAAGAAGTAGCGGTAGCAGTAGCAAAGCTGGTAAAACGCGCGCGTGTTTTGCTGTCAGTTTTCCTTATAAGCAAAAGCGAAAACAGAAACAGAAGTGTAGGAATCTATTTTTGCGGCAAAAGTTTTCTTTTTTGCTCTCTGTTTGGCTTTTATGGCTTCGCAATGTCGTTTCTTTCTATCTGTTTGTGTGCGCGTTTGCAGTAAACTTTTTAAGTGCAGCAATATACTTGAATTTTTTAATAATTGGAAATTTTGCGCAAACATTTGCCCGTAGAGAATAAGTTATTTTAATAAAAAAAAGAAGCACACACACACAGCTCGTAAAATACTGCACAGCATCGGTGATTGGAAAAGAGAAGAAACACATTATTTATTTTACTTCTGGCGCAAAAAAGTAGGCAACAGAAAACATGCGTCGCAAGCTTGTGGAGTATAAATTGTATTGCCTACTTTTAGGATAAATTTATATTCGAAAATAGCGCTTTGAGAGCAGATTTTGAGTGTAAAACTATTATTTAAATAGTGATTAAAAAGAACTACAACCCTACATGCATCTTATAAAATAATTATGAATTAATATGAATTATGTCATAATTCAAATTAAATATTTAATTTTTAATTTTCAACTAACTCAAACAGCAATAATGTTGCATATAATTTAAGTTGAAAATTACAATCAAAACTAAAACGCTATCTAATTGCTGCCATAACAAAAAATCAAATTTAAATCTAAAGCAAAATTACTATATTACAAATACCAAAAAAAAAAAAAAAAAAATAAATAAAAAAATAAACACCAATTGCAACAATATACAAAAATCAAATCAACAACTACAGCAAAAGCAACAACAACAACTGCGCGCCTATCACCGACTATTACAAACGGCAATTTAGAATTAATTTTATTTGCGCACACATTTTGCCGCGTGGTCTTCAAAATTTACATAGAAACAAACACCAAAAAAGTAAATAAGCAACAGCAGCTACAACGCGAATAATAGCAACAACAACAACTGAATGGCAATAAGGAGTACAAGAAGAGGTTCCTGGTTAAATGCTGACCCAGCCAGCCTACGACTTTAGGTTAGTATGTCTCTCTCATTTCTACATTATGCCGAAAAACAACAAAAAAGCGATGAGCTCTAGCGCCCAGCTCAATCTAGAGATACCCTGCACTTCGAAATGATTTTCACAAATTCAATTAAATAATAATAATAATAAAACTTGTTGTATATACTAGAAATATATTAGTAAAATTGCCAATTTATAATTTTACAAGTTTATATTATCAGCACCTTATATTCATGTTTTATATCATATTTCAATTTAATAATCCTAAACTAAGCTTTAGCTGTGCTTTATAGCGTTATAAATCTCTTTCATATCTTCATAATACATTGAATCCTGTCTACAAATCAGACAAGCCCAAATTATAAATTTTTCCAGCGATTACTTTAAATAGTTTCACAATTTAAATGAACGGCAAGGAGACCCTACTTTAGACTGTGTATGCGTCAAAAAGGACATAGAACAATGTGGCTTTCGTCTATGGATTCGTTTAACATGATGGCTCGTACGCAATCCTTTGCTGCTCTTTCGTTTATTTTTATTCGCTCTTTATTTTCTTTTTCTTCAATATATTTTTTTCTCTACAGTTTCTTTGTTGTTTTGTGGATGTGCGCTTCATTTTGCTTATCCTTTTGCCCGGCTGCTGATCAAATAGGCATCATTTGCCTGCCAGGCAGCACACAAAAAGGTCGACAGCAATTTCAAACGACAGTTGCTTGATGACTGTGTTGACATGATATAGGGCAAACAGGGCGGGAGTGGGAGAGGCAGTGGGCGGAAGTCGGAAACAGCATCTCTATAGAGCTATCTATGTGCGTGTGTGTGTGTGTGTGTGAGTATATTAACCCTATTTTTGACGTCAATTAATGACTCAACATGCGGCAGAAATTTAATTTTTTCTACTCGTGCTTTGTATATTTCTGTACGCGTATGTATGTGTCTCTGTGTGTGTGTGTTTGTGCCATATTTCATGGGGTCTACAGCGACTTCCGGTCACATTTTCTTGGCCTTTGGCTCTGCCTATTTTTAGGCGCCATAAGTAATTGAAAAAAACGCACGTAAATTAAGCGTGTATGCGTGCGTGCGTACGCGTGTGTATGTACACAGCGAAAAACAAGTGCACACATTAACAAACATTAATTATATTTATGCGTTAATCATATTTAATAAAATATGTGATTAAATTGATTGAAAGTATTATTTTTATTATTTATTAATTATTTATAGTTATGCATTAATTATAGAATGTTATTTCATTCTTGTCGTGCACACGTACATGCCAGCGTCACGGCTGACTCGTGTCTGAGTCGTGGCTGGCAGCTCGTTTAACCCAACGTGCTGAACGCCATTCGTTCAGCTTATGCCCCACGCATACGCACACATACACTCACTCAAACACACACACACACACACACATCCTTAGACACGGGGCAGGCAACATTACGAGCATTGTGCGGAATTTATTGAATTTTTATTGGATTTCTCTGGCTCAGCAGCAGCAGCAGCAGCGGCAGCGGCAGAGGCAGAGGCAGCAGCATTTCTAGCGCCAAGCTGGCTGCTCTGCTGTCTCGTTAGGCGTGGCATAATTCATTATGTTGACTCACACATTTCCCCCCGCACAGCTGCCTCCCTCAACTCAACGCTCGATCTCTCTCTCGCTCACGCGCTCTCTCGCTCTCTCTCTTTCTGTCTTTCTCCCTCACTCTCTGCTGGCTTGGCGTGCTTTGCATATTAATATGCATTCCTGTGGTTTCAATTTATGATTTAAAGGCGTCTTTGAACACGCCTGTTGCCTAATCGCTACAACTTTTGCTCCATACAAAATACATTTTAGATTTTTTACACATTTTCGCAGCACACTCGCAAATTGCATGTGTGTGTATTAGTCGTAACATATTTATTTTTCTGCAAGGTTTTAAACTTTAATATTCAGACATACTTATTTATAAATTTATACTGCATTCTTAAGCAAACAATTTGTTTGTGCAGTTGACTATATGATTCTATTGTAAATATAATTTATGAATATGTGTATATCATATATGAATATTATATCTTTTAAGTATCGATTCCTTTTGCTGTAACATTTTCCAAATAGCTTCAAAAACATTTTTTCAGCACTTTTCCATTATTTTATCATTAAATTTTACACAAATTTATATTATTATTATGAGATGAAAGACTTTAAAATTTAATTTAAACAAAT